GGCGAGGCTTCCCCTTCGAAACACGCAGAAGGCAGCAGGCGCCCGGCCCGGCCGCCCCCACGGGTGACGGGGGCGTTGAGGTGCAGACGGCGGTGGCACCGGGACACCCTGACGCGGGCAAAGGGGGGTGCGCGGCGGAGCTACGTGCGTTTTGGCACATTCCGTCCGTCACGCGTGAAGAATTGCATCACAGGAGCTCGGGACAAAATAGGCCTGAAAGTTGATGGTGAGGACACTTGGCAGCGTAAACAGGGTGGAGCCGTGAGCTCTTGAGCACGGCTGTCCCCCAGAACCCATTAAGCGGTACGTTTGCAGTATATCGTTACTACCAGGCTTAGAAAACAGAGTGCTAGCACTGAGCAGCATGACAAGGTCTTGCGGATCATTTTAAAAAATAAATCTTTCCTCTCCTTTAAGAAAACTGTCATTTTCAATCCCGTGCATCAGTGAGTGATGACTCCCTTCCAGTCTATTTCTCTTATGCCGTTGCCAAAAGAGAACGGGGGAAAGCTGCAGCCATGTTTACCCGGGGAGGTTTTGCTACTTAAAGCAATGCAGTGGCACAGATACCCTTACACTGTCAAGTCCCTGTCTGGGAAGCCTTATTCCTTAATAATACAGTTCCAGCCAGATCCTTGCTTCTTGGAAGAGGCTGAGAACGCAGCTCAGTCTCTTACTGAGAAGGGTGCCTTTAGCAATTAGTTTGTATCCTGCACAGAGATGCTCTAGACCACTCTTCCACATCCCAGACTTGACGCCTTCACGTCCTACCTCCTCTTCCCTCCCTCCTTCCATTATCTGATCCGTTGCCATCTTCTCTATCTTCCTACTAATGGGACTGGATGGGCCCAGATGATTTCAGTTGTGGAAATGCAACGTAAGCGCTCCTGAGCTGTCTCTGGCGCGGAAGAGCCTGCATGTTCCACATCGTACCTCACTGATTTGTGATAACGCATCACTGCTTGGAAGAATCTTGCTCTAGATGAATGACATGACATGAGCTCCAGTGCTGGAGAGGTGCCCAGTCCACTGCCAGCATCTCCTAGCAGACCAAACGAAACACAGACTCAATTTCCAAATAAAAAGTTGTAAGACAAACTTGTTTCAAACCTGTTTTATTTTTCTAAAGTTAACTGAGACAAAGGAACTATACAGTTCGATTACTGAATACTGTTAAGGGTTTAAAAAAAAAAATGTAGAAAATACACTCACAAAGGCAAACCTTGGAAGTTTTTCTGCCAATTTTTCTGCCACTCCCAGTAGTGAGCAAGTCCTATCTATAGTTGCAAAGAAGAGACCTATTTAAAAACTGCTGGTCTAGTACTCTTTGTGGAGAGAAAAAAAAACCCAAACCAACAAAACCCAAAAAAACCAACACACATTTCCCCTAACAATATTTAAAAGAAACGCACAGATACATCGTAAGCATCTAGTCACACCAATTTACATCCAACGAAAACCAGCTCTAACAGGTATTGGTATGTACTCACATGCAGACATCACGTCCCTTGCAACCTGGCATCATTGCTATTGAACCACTTGCAGCCCGATGCCCCGATTGTTCTTGGACTGCAGTCTGGTTGGGACAGTGACCGCGACCTCTTCCATTCTTCCCTGTTTCACGTTGTTCGTCAGCGTTCACTGATACTCATAGCCACAACCCTGAGAACAAAACTTTCCTTGTACTTGAGTAAGGTGTTCCCCAACCTGTCTGAAGCGTTGGAATGGCAAAACATGCAGTATTTTTAATGTATTTAAATACATAAATGTGTATAAAATCAGAATTTCAAAAGCAAGTAATTTTCAGCAGTCCTGTGCTTGCAAGTCAAATACAGCGATACGCCAAAAAAATTTTCCAAGACTCGGGCATGGCCTGTGTTAATTTTGTCATGTGGTAGAACAGTACTATCAACTGGAGGGGCGTTACTTTTTGTGAATACCAGCCAAAGCAAGTATACTGGAAATAAACTAGTTTTGCCTTTATATCTTATTTTGCTTGGGGTGGAATGTTATACATCTTTTAAACTAATTTAACTGCTTCCCCTCCCCCCCCTTTATACACACTTGTCTATATATACACACCACATTAGCGTTACACAGCCTTATCTACACGAGTTTGCTACAGCAGTGCTGACAAACA